TCTTTACTTACTCCTAGTAGAACATAGCTCACACTCTTGTTATCCAAATTGGTTCTTTTCTCATCATGTATGTAGACATGAGATACACATCCAAAAACTCTAAAATACTTAACTAATGGCTTTACTCCACTCCACGCTTCTTCTCAAGTCCTATCTTTTGCACAAGTGTTGGACATTGATTCAGCACATGAACTGCCCAGTTGATTGCCTCAAGCCAGAAAGTCCTTGGAATCTTCTTTTCATAAAGCATGCTACGAACCATATTCATAATGGTTCTGTTCTTCCTCTCTACTATCCCATTCTACTGTGGTGTGTATGCAGTTGTTAATTGTCTACTTATGTCATCCTCATTATAAAAATTAGTAAATTCTTGGGATGTGAATTCACCACCTCTATTAGTACGCAGACTCCTTATGGATTCACTTGTTTTTTTCTCCACATGGTTCTTAAAACTCTTGAAGGTATCAAAAGCTTGTGATTTTTCTACTACAAAATACACCCAAGTCTTGTGACTATAATCATCAATAAAGGTGATTAGGTACCTTTTTTTGTTGTTTGAAATGGGTGTAATCGGACCACATATGTCTACATGAACCAGTTGTAGAACCTGCGATGCTCTCAACGTGCTTTCCTTTGGAAATGGATTCCTTTTCTGTTTCCCCACAGACAATCTTTACAAATCCTGAAGGGAGTCTTGAGTTGAGGCAGGCCTTTCACCATCTCTTTCTGTTCAAGAGTCTTCAAGCCATTAAAATTTAGGTGTGCATATCTGCAATGCCATAACTGAGCTGGATCTTTGGTGCTGGTGTAAAAGCAAGCTAACACATCTGGCTGAGAAATATGATGTAGAATGAACATTCTATTTGAGGGCATTGTAGTTTCCATAATCAAGCCTCTCTCCGAGTGATAAACTTTTTATCTTTCGTGTTGAAATAAGATTGCTAGTCCTTTTTTTTTTGTAGCTGATCAATGCTAAACAGGTTATTCTTCAGTTCAGGTACATAGAGTACTCCAGTAATGATCCGTGAGATTTTATTTGACTGAAATCTCACATTGCCTATTCCCTTGACCACCAGGCTAGAATTGTTTCCAAGCTTTACACTTTCTCTGAAATTTTCGTCTAGATCGGAGAACAATTCCTTCTTGCCAGACATATGGTTACTACACCCTAAGTCAAGAAACCACACATCTTCATTCTTTGCTTGGTCATTTTCCATATATGCTATCAAAAGCATTTCTTCTGTAAAATTTGCTTCATTCTACTTGCTTGGACATTCATATTGATAATGTCCAAGATTATGGCAATGATAACATTCCACAATGGACTTGTCAAAGTTTGATGAACCTCTTCCTCGACCACGAAATCCTCCATGACCTCGTCCTCTTCCTCTACCTGATCTATCTTCATAGGTTACCTTTAGAGCTTGTTCTTCAATTATAGGAAAACTCATGCACTGTTCATGCACCAACAGACTACTTTGCAACTAGTCAATAGTCAGAGTATCAATGTCATTTGACT